GCACGACGGCGCAGTGGTGGTGGCGACGCCGCGGGGGCACAGCGGGGTTGAGGAGCAGCTCGACGACGACGTGTTCATCACGCTGGCGACGCGGCGGTGCATAGCGAGCTCCTCGGCTCCTCCCTTGTAGCCACGGACCGGCACAGCCATGGTGGGCTGCCGTGCCCATGAGCACGGCACGGCACGGCTAAGGAGCCGTAGTGCCATGCCTGGGCAGAAAGATAGGCACGACGGCCCTATATGACACGACACGGTAGGACGTCGTGCCGCATAGTGCCGTGCCGCATCGTGCCCGTGCCCGTGCCCGTGCCCGTGCCGTGCCGTGCGGCCCGGTTGACCATGTATAGATATAATCAAGATTGAGTAAAATTTACCAGCGGCCATCAAAGTGTTTGGAGGTGTCGTCTATGTCTCTAAAGTTTCAAAATACTTTTTAGCTCTCTCAGGTTGTAACGGGTCTCCTCCAAGTCTAAACATGCATTTATTCGACACGTTATCTTACGTGACATGGATGTGATACATAGGACCCACATGTCAATGGCAAGGCTTGATCTTTAAAAAAATTGTATTTTTTTCATACAATCTCGGATAAAGATTATTTTTATATGAAAATTGTGGCTCTTAATGGCATCTATAAATTTATAGTTTTGATTTTTTTTTTCTATTTTAGATCTTTAATATGTTAAAAATAATATAAAGTTTCAGCATATGAATTGTGTACTAGGGCTTGTCACCTCAGAAAATCATATCATTCTTATATGGTATCGGATAAAGATACTACGTATATGAAAACTGCAGTTTTCGATAAGTTCTACAAATTACTAGTTTTTGCGTTTCTTCACTTAAGGTCGCTAAGATGTTAAAAAATAATAAAGTTCTAGTAGCATACTAATTGCATATTCGGGCTTGTCACCTTACAAAAATCTTATCTTCCTTGTATGGTGTTGGATAAAGATATTTTATACATAAAAAATTGTAGTTTTTGATGAGATCTACAAATTCATAGTTTTGAGTTTTGTTAGTTGAGGTCGTTAAGCTGCTTAAAAGTAATATAAAGTTTTAGTAGCATATTAATCGCGGACCAAGGCTTCACCTTAGAAAAATCATATTATTCTTGTATGATGTCCGATAAAGATACTTCGTATAATACAATTTGTAGCCCCCGATAAAATCTAAACATTCATAGTTTTGATTTTGTCATTTGAGGTAGTTAAGTTGCTCAAAATAATAATATAGAATTTGAGCAACATATTAATCATATTTTATCATTTTTTTTAAAATTTAAAGAACTTCAAATAAAAAAAATCTCAAAGTAGAAAGTTGCAGATCTCATCGAGTGCTACAATTTTCATATACAAAGTATCTTTATCCGGCTACATATAAGAAAGATATAATTTTTTCTAAATTGACAAGCCCTGGAACGCGATTAATATTTTGCTGAAACTTTATATTATTTTTAGCATCTTAATGATCTCAAATAGAAAAACTCAAAACTATAAAGTTATGGATCTTACTGAGGGCTTAATTTTTATATAAAAATCATCTTTATCTGAGGTTGTATTGAAAATATATGATTTTTTCTATGGTGGAGCCTTGCGCGCATCTCATATGCAGATTCGTGCCACGTGGGATAGCAGGTCAGGTAAACGCCCATTTAAACCTAGATGAGACCCATTACAACTTCAGGAAGCAAAAAAAAAAAGATACATTTTAAGATTTAGGGACCTAGATGACACCTCAAGACAAATTTGAGGACCACTGCTAAATTTTACTCATCAAGATTTAGGACCAGAACAATGATTGACGAGGACATATATGTTGGAAATTAGCTCCACAATGGTAAGATATTTACTAACCTCCACATGCAAAAGTGTTAATTAGATCTATCGAGACAAACATACAAGTTTACAGAAGTCAAAGGCACGATATTTGTTAACAAGGTTTAGCCAAAGGATATGACCATAGATGCTCCTCTTCATTAACAACATCGTCCGCTCTATGGTCTCCGCTACGTGTCACCGCCCTCTTGTAAACTTATCGCTATATCTTCGTGATTAGAACACAACACTGCTCTCATACTATGAGGAGACAGAATCACATAAATCTAACTCTACTTCTAGCCTCTCCTGCCGACTGCCAATACAACCCAAAGTATTTTTCTTTTAAAAAAATCTACATTATTTTCTCAACCTTTTTTTAATCATAAATTCACTTTGTTTCCAATATTTTTCTAAAAAGACGTATATATTTCCAATATTTTTCTAAATAAAAAGAGGTATATATATGTAGTATAACTTTACTATTTCTCAATTCATGCGTTGATACCAAAATTTAGCAAGTTTACCCAGCCGATGGTGTCAAAAGCAAGAAATTACGAGCCGGCCAGAAAATATTCTCTAATACATTTTCGAAGAAGCCTCACGTACGAGATCTTTTCACGTGAAGCAGCGAAGGAGATATTCGTTGGCAGGAAGTTGGATGAAAGCCCAAGTGCTATACGAGCTATGCTTGACTTGGATGCCACCAAGATTGAAGCAGAAGAGATATACATGTATACGCGATCATTAGACTTGCATGTTTGGCTATTATGGATATTCATGCAAGAATGGCCAATTAATATATTTGGCCAGTTATATATGGTAAGACTCACGTGTAAGGCTGAAGAGATCAACTAATGAAGAAAGAATATTTTGATATTGTTTGACCGAACTGCATAAGGAAATAAATCGACATATCTTTGGATGGAGACATGAAGCTTCTTGACTCCTGACTGCTGACGATGAGGATGCAAGATAAGTCCAATTGGGAATATATGTGACCGGAGGCGAAAGAAATATTATTTTATCAACATCCAAGTGCACATCAAGGATGAGAAGCAGAGACATGTATCATGTATATGCGTATACAAGGCCGGCTAGGTGTTAACAAGAATCTGTCGAGAAGTCCAGATGTCACGCGATTATTTACGTGAGAAGGAAGGAAGGAAAGTCAAATCGAACCTGTGTTGAAATACATGGCAGCTTGGCGTGGTTACAAACAAGATAGATGTTCGAAGGATTAATGTGCCTGCATGCGAAGTCATTGTATCTTAATATTTTTCTTTATTTAGATATATTTTGTTAGGCAAGTCCCTTCAGGACTCTTATCCACACAGTTTATAAATATAAACTATTGTAAAAGTTATCATCTATCAATCAAACAAATCAGTACCTTTACTTTTCGGCTTCGGCCACCCCTTAGGAGTAGGAGTAGGAGTAGAGTAGATTTCGACGAGTTCTTCAGCGAACAGGGCTGCATCAGTCGATCGACCTCCAGCTTGTCTGTGAGTATCTGTCACCTCTTGTATTATTATTTGTGAGGCTGCATCAGCTGATTGACCTCTTGCAAGGTGTAGTATAAGGTTTTGATCTATATCATCGTTCGTAAAGCTGCATCAGCTGATTGATCTCTTTGCGAGCTGTGGCATAGATTAGTTATCGATTTTGCTATATTATCGGCGCCCCCAATATTTATAGCAAGATCACCCTTTATATGATCAAGGTCATGACAGATCGGTCTTATATCATCTTAATCCATCGTCTGGCTATGCTTTCACGCTCTGATCTCGTTTGGACGATGGTTTCGGCTAGATTGACTGTTCTATCCCGATTTTGATTGTGCATAGCGAGGGGTTAAAGACATGTTTGGCTTTAGGTAAGCCGATCGGTTGACAAGGTCTAGTTTACGGTCGTTATTATGGTTGCCTCGATCTGCTCGATCCCCACTAATAGCGCTGTAGATCGGATTTCGTTAGTTGATAGGTTTGCTTACCGTCAAGTATGCTTCTTTGATAATTTGCTATGCTTGCATCGGCTTTCTAGCCGATCGTCCGTGCTTTCACGATCGTAACATGCTTTCATGATTCTGTTAAGTGTGTATAGATTCATATTCTTTGAAGATTTAATCTATTATCTTTATTATGGCTGTAAGGATCCGGTCGATCCCCACTGCTAGGGATAATGTATTAGATTCTATAGGTTTATGGGTTTGTCCGTACCTAATAGTTGAGTGCTTGCATGTTACGACCATTTTATTTACTGGAATCGATTGTTTAGTGGAAAGCCTGTCTCTGAGAATACGTGTTGGTTGTTTACGTGTTTTTGTTCGTTCTTACATTGATCTAAAGCTAATACGTATCGCAATCCATATACATGTGCCTTCGTGCCTATTTTACACTCTTTTATTTGCATGTTTTTATGATTGTCGGCAGTAAGATTCATACAATTCATATTCGATAATTGCCGATCAATTAAGCTCTTTTAATTATTCTATCATGAGCGTAATTGACTCTTTAGTCGATGACCTTATTTCACTAGCTACTTAGCCGTACATTGGGAATTGTCAGGTGCAACACCAGCATGTTTCACCTTAAACTACTGATTATCTCCTTCTTGTCAATTGCAAGGTTAAATTGACTGGCATCACAATTGGTCTTAACTCCGACCAGTCATGTGTTGAAGCTAGCGGATCTCAGAACTCGTCCTAGACAGATCTTTTCAATCTTTTCAACTTGCTGTGCGTGAGACACTTGGTCACATTTTTATGTCAACACCATGAAACTAGAGTTACAAAATAACCGTAGCAACGCATGAACCTAAGGATTGGACCCAGAGTAGCCGTGTCGGGTGGTCCGGGGACGGTTGGTGGTGTCAAGAAAATAAGAAATGTCATGATTTGCGTGTGAGTGTGACCGTGACTGGCCTCAGCATGAAACGCGTGCATTTATAGCGTGCGTGGGTTACTCGGACAATTATTGTAAAAATAAAGAATACAATATTCCGTTTCTAGTGCTATGGTACTAGTACCACATGTGCTGATCCTGATCTACATCAGATCTGGTCGCCTTGCCTTCCTCTTCCTTCCTGTAACTACATCTATCTAGCTTGTTCCACTGAAAGAGGAGAGGTACCTCAGCTGAGCTGCTCAGGGGGCAGGAGCCTTCCGTCCGGCGATCAGGCTATATGGCGACGTCGGCGGCACCCGATGACTTCACCGTCAGGTATGAGAGGGAGAGCCGGAGAGGGAGATGGCTCGATCTGCTTCCTGCTGACGGCCGGATCTGATCCAGCATCCGCATGTTATGATGCATGCAGAGAGACGAAAGCGGAGGAGGTGCTGCCCCCAACCCTGGGTTCTGGTTCTCAACCACCAAACCTCTTCGATGGCACAACAAGGCTCTACATCTCCTACATATGCCCATATGTGCAGAGAGTTTGGATAGCTAGGAACTTCAAGGTAGGCGCCTAGGCGCCACGCCAATTTGTGCTTGATTCCCGTACCGTACCTTCCGTCTCCCAAGGATTTCCTTGGCTATAAAGCTCGGTTTGTTGTTGGGCAGGGGTTACAAGACAAGATTCAGCTGGTTGCCATTGATTTGCAAGACAAGCCTGCTTGGTAATATAACTACTAGGATCGTATTGCATTGCATGTTACTCTATCAAATCTTACATAATTATATAATATCGGTTCCAAACTCAATCCAACCGACTAACCTGCCTTTAACTTAATCCATCTGAATATGATGATGAATTGAAGGTTCCTCGAGAAAGTTTACCCACCGGGCAAGGTCAACCATTTCCTCTGAGGAACACATTACAATTAATTGTTTTTCTTTTCTTTTTGACATCAACAATTAGCCCTTGTTTAGTTCCATGAATTTGGATTTTAGGGCTACTGTAGCACGTTTATTTTTATTTGGCAAATAGTATTCAAATATGGACTAATTAGGCTCAAAACGTTCGTCTCGTAATTTCCCACCAAACTGTGCAATTAGTTTTTCTTTTTGTCTACATTTAATGCTCCATGCACGGGCCGTAAACATTCGATGTGACAGAGGTACTGTAGCAACTTTTTGGAATTTGGCCTTCAACTAAACACGGCCTTACTAATCAACATGCTGTGCTGTGCAGTGCAGGTCCCAGTCCTGGAGCACAATGGCAACATCATAGCAGAGTCCTTGGATCTACTCAGTTACCTGGACGCCAACTTTGAGGGCCCCAAGCTGTTTCCTCGTGATCAGGACCCTGCAAAGCAAGCTTTTGCTGATGAGTTGATTGCCAGCAGCGATTCTGTCATCATAGCCTTGTTCAGGGCAGGCCGTGCCTATGCCCAAGCCCAAGCCCAGGGAGATGATGATGATGGTATCAGTAAGCTACTTGCTCCTGCTCTTGACAAGCTGGAGGAGTCCCTGGGACGTTTCTCTGATGGGCCATTCCTCCTGGGACAGTCCATGAGGGCAGTCAGTAAACTCATCAATCACTTATTAGTCAATCATTTTTTAATTAGTTTTGCTGACAATAACCGAATTGCATCTATATAAGCAGGTCGACATGGTTTATGCGCCCTTTGTCGAACGCTTCAAGGATTTCTTCGCTGTAGTGAAGCACTACGACATAACACAAGCAAGGCCTAAACTCAAGGAGTGGATAGAGGTGTGCGTCACTGCCACTGCGTGCACCAATCAAATTCAACCATCATCAATAATTTCTTCTGTTAACTCCGCACAATTACATTACATTACATCGTGTGCAATAACGCAACTGCAGGAGCTGAACAAGATAGATGCCTACGCAGCGACCTGGGGGGATCGCCGCCTGCAGCTTGCTGCCTTGATGAACAAGTTCGGGGTAACATCGGTGCCCTTTTATTTATATATAGTATGAGTAGTAACGGGCCGGGACTGACTCATCTTTGTGTATGCAGATACAAAGCCCGGTAGCCTGATCTGATCTGATCTGATCATCCCCAGGGGAGGGGAGCTTCTCAACATCTTCATGTCAGGCGTTTCATGTTGTATATGAGCTGGAATAAGTCTCAACTGAATAAGATGTGTGTTTGCTATAATGTTATTCACACTGTACTCGTCTAGTACTCTACAAATAATTTGCCTTGTTTATTTCTGAAATTCTCAATCAAATAAAATGAACAAATTACCATTCCAAACAAACACAAGCTAAAGTCAAACAAAACCTGCTCCTAATTGTACCCTGGGAAACAAAACTACCCCCAGGTACAAGGAGATCAACGGTGATATATACGACTATTGTTCATTTTTTGCCCGGTGAGCAATGGTGTAACGATAAGTTTTTCCAAACAAGGAAAACCATGGTCATGTTATCCCACCCAATAAGCTCTTATATCTGTTGATTGGAGATGAGCCAAATTCTAGCTGCTACCACATGCATCCTTCAACATCTTTTTTCACTACAAGTGCAAACAATAGAATCATGTCAGCTACTGAAATGAATACGTTTCTGGAACTCGAGATGCAAAAAGAGCACACCCACACACCTCACAAATCGCTGAACTGTTTCTGGAGTGTGGGATTGATGCATGCAAATATTGATTTCTTCTTTCGCTTTGTTCCAAACAGGAAATTCCGCAACGGTACCCTAGTCCTACTTGGAAAATGCTTGAACTGTTTCCCATAGCTATTTTCAGTCTCTGGCTGCGACAAGTATTGGGATGAAAACTCAAAACTCTCACGTAGCTTCTCTAGGGCGTGGTTAACCTTGGCTTGAAGCCCCCTCATTCGTTCTGATGCTGCCTGCAGCTCGTTCTCAATCTTGCTGTTAGATTGCTGCATGTTTAGGACCTCCCCTTGAAACTTGGCAGCTTCATATGGTGTAAACAACTTGGCTCTGTCCATCTCCAAGCTACCACGCAGGGCTTCAGCTATCTCCTCTTGCAGTCTGCAAAGAGATGCAGACTTAAGCTGCACTTCTTGATCGAGAAGCGCGTTCTGCTCAAACCATACATCCAGTTCAGTTCGGATCTCTCTCAACTTCTTTTCAGCTGGTTCGGGCTCTGCTCGAGTTTCAGGTTCTCCAGTCTTATTATCGTCCATGTTCTCCATTTCATTCTGTACCTCCTGGTATCTTCTGTCAAACTCCTCCATATGATGGCAAGCCATGCTATACCTTAGCAGGAACTGCAAATTTTCCTCCACCAAAGCGTCAATGTCATTTCTGAACCTCACTTCAAAAAGTGACGTGTTGTTAGGTGCATCGATGTTGCTAGAGCTGCTTTCCTCCACAGTTGAAATATCTCTACCCAAAGTGCCATTTGATCTGTCAGCTTCTCTAAAAGATCTCACACTTAAGAAACCGTTTGAGTTACTACCCAGTTTACTGAGAGGCATCTCCAAGGAATCCAGGAGATCTCTTAGTGACCAAATCTCAACATACTTCATGGAATTTGCATTCCTTAACTCCCGTATAACTGCTTTTGTCTCTTCAAGATGCTCCTGTTTTTTCTTTTCCAGTTCGGTAAGCCTTCTCTTTGTTTCTTTGTAGTTCCGCAGAATTGAAGTATAGTCAGCTAGTAGGATTGCTTCTCTACCTTCAAGCCCATCAAGAAGAAATTCTTGCCAGCTAGGTACAAATTCCTCTCCCATCAAACCAGACTTTTCACCCTGACTCCTTCCTCCATGGTTGTTCGAGGTAGTTGTTTCGCTTGCAAGCTCTTTGCCATGTGAACTCTTCTTCTCTAAGTTTGTCAGAACTTGCTCAGAATCTCCAGCTGGCACACAGAGAGAAGTTTCATCCCTCACTTCTGAGGAATACCTGTTCTTCATATCTTGGATATTATCAACATGACCTAATGAAATACAGTCATCCTCTTTAAGCAATCCAACTTGGCTGCATTCGTTCAAACTTTCAATATTTTCTGGCCCATTTAGTTGACCACCTTGGTCTGGCAATTCTTCAACATATTGTGCTTCATTTGCATGCCCCAAGTGCAAGCTCTTATCGGCACCACTGAAACACGTAGCTTCTGGCAATGAGGATTCTTCTAGGGAATCTTTTTCCTTTAAACTGTACAACTCTGAGGAAGCAATTGGACTAATATGCCCACTGGTATTTTGTGTATTACTATCTCCAAGTCCTTCCTCCTGGATTACACTACTGCTGGTAAAAGAACTTCCATCACCAATATTTCCCTCAGCAACTTCCATTAGTGACTGAGAAGCTTCATTAGAGCCATATTTCTTGTCTAAAGCATCCATACTACCTGAGTGGAGGAGATGAGTCTGTCTGACAATTCCCAATGGATATTCGCCTCTCACAATTTCGCCTTTAGGGAAGTTTCTACTTCCATTCTCATTTTCCGATGAACTCTGGAATACTTCTCCTGGTGAGCTATCAACATTGCCCTCACCTGAATCATGAACTCTGTTTTCATTTTCTGAACTGACAAACGGATTAATATGGTTCTCAGAATGTATAGACGATTTGTATCTAACTTGCTGCATTAAGCAACTCCCAGGGATTTTTTCCTCATTAGCATTCCTCGAGCCATGGATGCCATTGTTACCATTATCATTAACCACTTCCGAGACATCTTCTCTATCTTGGCCCAAACTATGACTTAGAGTTGGCACATCTATGTCTCTGAACTCCCCGCCCTTGCTCTCTTCTGTAGAGTGCTCCAGGACCACATCTTTTAAAACCGTTGCACCATCCCCTACCGCAGTTGACAAATTATGCAGGTCTTCAGGACCAACAGATCCAAGTGCCTTTGAGATATTAATTATGCAGCTAAAAACATCAGAAAAGCCTATGCTGACAGAGGCTTCTTCCTCATTTATTGATCTTTCAAGAACTCGGAGTGTGCTAAACTCATCCTCTAATTGCTTGATCTGTTCATTTAAGTCACTTTGGTCATCACGAAGTGCCATCTCATCTTGTAACTCATCCAGTTTATTCTTTAAGTTCTCGTTCTCTTGTATGAGTTGATTGATTTGTGCTGTCTGTTTTGGGAACTTGAGCTCCAAGTTGATGACTTTATCAACAAGTTCATCAACATTCTCTGCAATCTCCCCCGCAGAGGATTCAGAACCACTGGCAAAAAACTTGTCAAGTTTCTCATATATGGGCTGCAACTCAAGTATTGTCTGGGTAACCGGGTAAGACCTTGCGTTCACCGACGTGCCTGCGCTGCTTGCCTCTCTTGAAGATGTGTCAGTGTTGCCATCCATAGCATACAGCTGTGCTCGGAGAGACTTTGTTTTTTCCAATTCCACAGCTGCAAGCTTGATCAACTCCTCAAAATGACGAGCAAGCTCAGAAATGGTTCCCTGACAAGATCTAAGAGCGGTTATTGTCATCAAGACACGGGCTTCATCGTCACCGATGGCTGCATGTGCATCAAATTTGTCCTGAATAACACAGATTTCCTTTTGTGTATCTGCAATCTGCTTCTCGATCTCCCAGTACCGAGCAATACCACTCTCGTAAGAACTCTTAACATACTCTTTCTCGGTTTGCAGAACAAGTATAGCTTTCTGAAGTCTGCCGATCTCTTCTCGTGCCTCCTCGGTGCTTATGTGTGGATCGGAGGGTAGCTTGTTCCACCCTGACGGACCTTGTCTCTTTGCGTTGAGAATCTCTTGGACCGTGGACTTGTGTACCTTGTGCAAGTAAATTGGTGTGACTGCTTTGGGGAAATCATGATCCTCCTCTTCTAACATTGCATACTGCACCTCTTCTGGACAAGCAGTAGCAATGGTGTGGTTGGCCTTATGGAGCTCCTTGGATATGTGGTCATAGCGTTCGACGAGAGCTCTGTAAGCTCTGTAGAGTTGCTCCACATGGCTTATCACCTCTGGTCTGGTGTGGTAATACATCTCGGCCCTCTTGCCAAAGGAATCGGCTTCCTGTCCGAGGAGTTTAAGCATGATCTTGACTCGATTCTCCATATCTGCACACAACACAAGATCGGTCATCAGAGAGTTGAGGTCTTGAGGACAGGACAGCGATACTTCGGAGCAGGAGATGAATGAATGAATAAAGAACATGTGGGAATCGGAACCGGAACTGACCCTGCAGGTTTGCGTCGAGCCATTTGGACTGGGTGGTCCGGATGTGGCTTGCCCACCACCACGAGTAGGCGTTGCTCGCCGCCCGCTGCAGCATCTTGACATGAATCGCCCCGAGCTCCGGCGCTCCGCAATCAATCGGATCGGATTCGGATCCCCTCCTTCGTCTTCCTTCCCTGATCCCCGCGCTGATGCTGCTGATATTGGTCCTCTTCTCTCTCTTTCTTGACAACTAATTAGCCCTTCTTTAGTCCGCGAAATTTGGATTTTGGAGCTACTATAGCATCTTCGTTTTTATTTGACAAATAGTGTTTAAACATGGACTAATTAGGCTCAAAACGTTCGTCTCGCAATTTCCCACCAAACTGTGCAATTAATTTTTCTTTTCATCTACATTTAATGCTTCATACACAGACCACAAACATTCGATATGACAGGTATTGTAGCAACTTTTTAGAAATTAGGATGGAACTAAACAAAAGCTTAATTGGCTGAGGTGAGAAAGGAAAACAGTGAGATGGGATGGGATGCCTTCATCGCGTGTAAAGCAAAAAGGTAAGCTAAAGCTAGAGCCTAGAGGCTGTGGGTGGGCGGTGGCGGCGACTGCGTGCTCAGCAGTCAGCACCCATGGACTCGGATCTCATCTCGTACTCAGCACACAAATAACACCAGGCGCACGGCGGGGAAGGGGGAGAGTGGAAGACACGGCCGCCCGCGCGGAATGACCTTGACCGCCTGGGACTAAACTTTTTGAGCCCATCACTAGTATTAAATATAAGCTAATTATCTATATCTATAGCGAGGCAGGACTTATAAGCCGGTTAATAAGTTTAAATAACTAATTTGTTGGAGGAGAAAAATACTATTCTAACAACTGATAAGCTGAAGCAAACAGAGTCATATC